GCCATTCAGGGCTCCCTGGACCTTTGTCAGAGGGCAACGCAAAAGCAGACGCTGCTACTCATGCTGTCGGCCTTTCCTGTGTGGCGACCGAATATGATAAGGCCTTACAATTCCATAACAAATTTCATTTAAATGCACAGTCTTTACGCTTCCACACAGGATGTTCACGGGACCAAGCTTTACAAATTGCCTCATTATGTCCAACCTGTGCACCATTTATTCATTCTCCTTCCCTTGGGGTTAATCCAAGAGGATTGCAACCTAATGATGTCTGGCAAACTGATGTTACACACTTCCCTAGCTTTGGTAAGCTCTCCTTTATACATGTTTCCACTGACACATATTCTGGCTTCATTTTTGCCACCTTACATACTGGAGAGAAGGCTAAGGACGTAATCAGTCATCTTCTAAAAGCCTTTTCCTCCATGGGCACCCCACGATGCCTCAAAACCGATAATGGTCCCGCATATGTAAGCCAGGCGGTTCAACGGTTTTGCACCCAATGGGAAATTAATCATAAGACTGGAATCCCTTATAATCCACAGGGACAGGCTATCGTGGAACGAGCCCATCAACATTTAAAAACTTATTTACAAAAAACAAAAGAGGGGGAGATATACCGGAATTGTCAGGGACCACAAACACTTCTAAGTATAACCCTATTTACTTTAAATTTTTTACTCACTGACACTGGAGGGCGCACGGCTGCACAACGCCACTTTTCCCCTCCCACTGTACAAGATGCTCAAATAAGGTGGAAAGATTTATCCACTGGAAAGTGGCAACCCCCGGCTCCACTCTTAGCTAGAGTGAGGGGAGCTGTATGTGTTTTTCCCCCAGGAACTGAGAAGCCCATTTGGATCCCAGAGCGCTGCACCAGACCGGTGAATGAAAATTCAAGACAAAATGAAGTTCCCAAGATGGCTGATCCTGCCACTGTTGTTCTCACCCCTTCAAGTGAGTGCCGAGACACACCTCATGAGCTGGACCCCGCTTGTGACATTCATTCTGGACAGGTTTGCTGAAGGAGGGCTTGACCCCCCGCCTGGGAATATTCATGAATATCTTTTTGGAGCCCCTTGTGAGTGTAAGGGAGGGCCCCGGCACTCGGCCCCCTCTGGTTATATCCAGAGCATTGATTGTGGGACTAAAGTAGCCTATATGGCGGCTGAACTCAATGAAAACATTGGAGGATTTAAGCAACCAAAATGGGTATGTGTTAATAAGCCTGGACTTGTTGTCCCTAATCCGACCGAGACTCTTGGAAGCTGTTCCACCACTTGTCATTACACCCTGGCAATGCACATCTCCTGTTATACATCGGCCTCAATTTGTGTTAATAATCAAGGAAAACAATATTTTGAGGCCATCCTAACTAACACCCGTGGAGAATGGGGGACCACTTATAATTATATTCCTTTTCTTGGTGACCGGGGAGGGGAAGGCATCACGACTCGGTTAACGGAGGCGGGATGTGAGGGCGTCCTGGGTAAACCCTCCTGCTGGCCCATGCAGGCCCCTATCGGAGTCTCTGATGGAGGGGGACCCACTGATGCTATCAAACACCTTCAGGTGATTAAGCTTTTAAAGCTGGAGATTCCTAAGCCTACATACCACCCCTTGATATTGCCCAAATCCCAGCTTCCTGATTTAGATGCCAATACATTAGATATCCTAGAAACTACCTTTTCTTTACTTAACAGTTCCAATCCTACCCTTGCTGGTGATTGCTGGCTCTGCATGACGGCAGGTGCAGTCATGCCATTGGCGGTTCCCATCAATTATACCATTGATGATGACAACACATGTCAATCTGGGCTACCCTTTAAGGTGCAGCCTCTAGGTGGTTTTATGTCATGCCTTCTGGGCATGATGCAAAATAATACCTATGATGTTGATGTTGGAGTCTCTTCCTTTGGAAACTGCTCATTAGTAAAGAATTACTCCTCACCTACTCCGCCCATTTGTCCCCCTAATGGTACAGTTTTTATGTGTGGTGGAAATTTAGCTTTTCCCAGGCTCCCAGCAAATTGGACTGGTGGTTGCATTCTGGCATTATTGCTTCCTGATATCACGATTATCTCAGGAGATGAACCCCTACCCATTCCTAGCCTAGACATCTTAGTTAGAAGACACAAGAGAGCTGTTCAGGCCTTACCACTCCTTGTTGGCCTTGGAATAACCGCTGCTGTGGGCACAGGCACGGCAGGATTGGGTACGGCTATACATTCTTACTGCCGCCTATCTCAACAGCTTATAGATGATGTGCAAACCCTGTCGGGAACCATTAAAGACTTACAAGACCAGATAGACTCCCTAGCAGAAGTAGTTCTTCAGAACAGGCGGGGTTTAGACTTGCTTACTGCCAATCAAGGGGGAATTTGTTTAGCCCTTGGGGAGAGGTGCTGTTTTTATGCTAACAAGTCTGGCATAGTTCGCACAAAAATTAAACAACTCCAAGAAGACCTAGAAAAAAGGAGGAGGGAATTATTTGAGAACCCTCTCTGGACTGGACTTAATGGATTTTTGCCTTATCTTCTTCCCTTATTGGGACCATTGTTAGGCCTCCTTCTAGTAGTGGCAATAGGACCCTGCATTGTAAATAAGATAGTACAATTCATTAAGGATCAAATTAATATCTTAGCCTCTAAGCCGATACAGGTTCACTATCAACGCTTGAAGATGGATGATCGCCCCTCTGAGATATACTTCAGACCGATCCAAAGATGAGTGTCCTCCTTAAAAGAAGAACTCCTGCCATATCTTTTCTCTATGCATACCTTTCCCTCTTGCCTTCCTGTACTAGGATCTTTGCTGTCTAATCTCTCGGTCCAATCACATCTGCCATTCGGCGGTGACGGTCGTGGGTCCCGTAGGTGGAGACGGTTAAGCGTTCACCGCAATAATGTCTTGATAGGTCATAACACCTTGAGCTGATCTTGTAGTACCCAGTGACGGGCAACTTTCACGCTTGCTGTGCGACCTAAGCCAGGGAATCGGGGCCTTCCCAGAGACGGGTAAGCATCGCAAGGGCTGTGAACGACCTAAGACAGGGGCTACTTGATTCCCACTGGCATGCAAAAAACAAAAGAGGGGGACTTGTTGGCAGCAGGTCCACCCTGGCCCCTGGAGCCCTACCTCCACTAGTTTGTTCTGCATGCCAGTGTGGCCAGCTCACAAGGCCATGGCGAACTTGCGGTTTTTCTGTTCCTGCTTGTCCGTCTGAGACATATGTGTCCCACGGGAATGCCTTGACCTTTTCTGGTCTGATGGACTTATTGTTAAGGGAGGTTTCAGTACCTGACAATAATAGATGTTGAAACTAAATTTCTCCCCCCTCCCTCCTGCTTTTGGGTATTTTTCCACTTCTGCTGCTTGGGGTATAAAAAAAGGTGTGTTAGCAATAAAGGGTATTGACTCCTGGATGAAGAACCTTGGTGTCCTGTGTGTCTTTTAACCTCGCCGTCCCTCGCCGGACTCGGCTCCCTTGGCCAGACGCGGCACAGGTGGGATGCAGGTGGGATGCCTGTGGGATGCCTGTTGGATGCAGGTGGGATGCAGGTGGGATGCCTGTGGGATGCCTGTGGGATGCAGGTGGGATGCCTGTGGGATGTCTGTGGGATGCAGGTGGGATGCCTGTAGGATGCCTGTGGGATGAATGTGGGTCGCAGGTGGGATGCCTGTAGGATGCAGGTGGGATGCCTGTGGGATGCAGGTGGGATGCAGGTGGGATACCTGTGGGATGCCTCTGGGATGCAGGTGGGATGCCTGTGGGATGCAGGTGGGATGCCTGTGGGATGCAGGTGGGATGCCTGTGGGATGCAGGTGGGATGAAGGTGGGATGCCTGTGGGATGCCTGTGGGATGCAGGTGGGATGCCTGTGGGATGTCTGTGGGATGCAGGTGGGATGCCTGTGGGATGCAGGTGGGATGCCTGTGGGATATCTGTGGGATGCAGGTGGGATACCTGTGGGATGCCTGTAGGATGCAGGTGGGATGCCTGTGGGATGCATGTGGGATGCAGGTAGAGGGCATGCCTGGAGCAGATTCCTGGAAAGAAGCTGTCTTTCAGGTGCGGCTAATCCGACAAGTATAGAAGGAGACTTTTTCGCCGTTTTACAAATATATAGAGTGTGATAATAATCCTCAACACACAATAAAGTCAATTTTATGACTTAGAAACTTCCGGTGTAAATTAGGAACACAGGGCGTAAGCAAAAGTCTAGGCTTTGTGAACATCCAGACTTCACAGGCCAAACGCACGTTTCAGGGGACAGGAATAGATGCCCCGTGTCCTTGCACCCTGTGCTGTCTACCCTGGCTCAGTCCGCCCCACCCCCTCGCCACCGCCTTTGGTCCCTTCTTGGCGCCAGTCTGAGGTGATGGCGTGCTCCCACGCATTTGAAGAGCGATGCGGCCGTGGGAACGCTTCTAGCTAGCTGCGAGGCTCTGTATGGGTCGGCTTCTTGGGTCTGAAATAATGTCCACATATTTAAGTGGTCAGTTGCACTGGAGACTGGCACTCCGCAGACACCGGCTGGGGGCCCTGGCGGCGCTGCGGGGACCTTTCCCGCGAGGTCGCTGTTCCTGGCTTCCCTGGGCGCGATCGTGGCCGTGGGAACTACATTACCCAGAAGCGCTTGCGCCCAGTGGCAGAGTGCTGATCCAATGAAGGTCCAGAGGAGAGGCGGTTCCGTGCAGGGCGTCTCCCTTGGGGGCGGGACTTCCGGCGTTTTCCTGGAGATCTTTTCGGGGGCCTTCGGGCCGGTTCTGTCTGTCTTGTGTGCTGCGCTGGGACCCGAGTGACGCGCGAGAAGGCGCCGGAGGAGGGGCGAGGATCAGGCGCTGCAGCCTGTGACGCCGCTGAGAGCGGCAGCGCGCGGTCGCCGCCCCGGTGCCCCCCCAGGAGAGTAGGATGGAGGCGGCCGCGCCGAGGGGCCCGGCCGGGGTGAGCGGCGCGTCCTCGGCCCCGGCCCGGGTCAGCGCGGGGCGCGGGGACGTGGGGTGCGCGCCGTCACCGCAGGGCGCGGAGCTTGGGGGAGGCCCGCCCCCGCAGGGCAGGCGCAGGAGTCGCGCCCCGTGCGCGGGGCCCGGCCGGGGACAGCCCCGAGCCCGAGACACGGCCGATGGGGTGTGGAAAGCCTGCCCAAGGCTGTTCCGGGAAGAACCGCGGGTGGTGCGCCCCGGAGGCCGAGGGAGAGTCAGCCCCGCCCGAGGCCAGCCGCTGACCGCAGGTCGCCCCTGAACCCAGGCGCAGAGGTGGCCCTCAGCTGGAGGTCAGTTGCCAGGCCTGGCGGGCAGGGGGGCCGGGGAGGCCCGTGCCGGGGGAGCACAGCCGTGCTCAGTCCGCCTGGCTCTGCCTCTCCCAAGGTCCCACGGCGGCACCGACCTCACAGGTAAGTGCAGGGCGCCCCGGTCTTACTGCTCCTGACTTCCACCTACCTTTTCTCTGCCTTCGGGTCTCTTGGACTTCGCCTGCCATTTCCCCAGCCCTGTGTTCACCAAGCTTCGGGTCCCGCATCTGTGTGGCCAGTTACTTGGAGAGTTCCCGTTTAGGACCTCCCAAGGAGGGAGGTGTGGAAGCTTATCCCGGTGCAGATACCAGCACTTGGAACTGCTTGCAGGGGAATGTGTCCCGGGAACTACAGGTCTCCTGCCTTTCTGATGGCAACAAACTCCGGGAGAGGGAGGCAGGAGGCAGAGCCAGGCTTGGAATGACACACTGTTACGTGGAGGCAGTGGGAGGTTGGGTTTAGAGGAGGGAGGTTTTCTACCCAAGTGTTGACGGGTTTTATCTGGTTGCAGAATGGAAAACAGAACGGATGAATGCAGTGACTGTTGGGAGCACCAGAAGAGCAGGCACCAGTGACACCAGAGTCTGGTGTCCCTTCAGAATTGAGGAGCTGGGGAGGAGGGTGGACATGGGGGCAGATGTGTGGGACAAGGATCATGGGTCTGCCAGAGTGAGCTGTTCATGATTTCATCAGTCTCTGTCCTGCCAGGGCAGGTGACCTTTCAAGATGTGGCTGTGTACTTCTCTTGGGAGGAATGGGATCTTCTTGATGAGGCCCAGAGACACCTGCACCTCGAGGTGATGCTGGAGAACTTGGCACTTATATCCTCGCTGGGTAAGTCCCTTGTATCCACTGTTGTGGCCTGGGCTGAACTGCCTTTCTCCTTTTCCTTGGCAGCCGCTCTGTTCTCCTCAGATCTCATCCCCAGTTCCCTGGGCAGGTGCTGGGACTGAGTGCTTGCCTTCTTCCCTCCCCTTATGGCCATAATTCCTGCTGCCCCAGAGCATCATGGACAAGGATCAAGTGAGCCTAACAGATCCCACCTACTTGTCTTCTTCCTGTCTGGTGACTCTCTAGGTCCATGCACGTTCTTTTCCCTTCTTATATCTGACGTTCATCAGTGTCTAGTGTGCCATGAAATATAGTCACTGACATCATCAGTACTTATTTAGCCTGTTTTTACAAGAACTTCCCCCAAGGTGTTATTTATTTATTTGAATTGTGGTGAAATATGTATGATATTTTATCATTTTAACCATTTTTAAGTGTACATTTCATTGGTTTTAAATACTTAAAATTCACATTATTATGTGACTATCGCTACCTTTCTTTCATAGAACTTTTTCATCTTGCAAAGCTAAAACTCTAGTCATTAAGCAATAATTCCCTCCATCTCTTAGCAAGCACCATTCTGCTTTCTTTCTATGAATTTGACCACTCTAAGTGTCTCAGGTGAGTAGAATCATAAAGTATTTGTTCTTGTGTGGTAGCTTTTTCAAGGTCCAAGCCAGAATTTTCTTTGAAGACTGAATAGCATTCCCTTGTATGATGTCCTACATGTTGTTTATCCATCTGTCCACCTGTGTGTACTTGGAGCTACTGTGAATAATGCTTCAATGAACATGAGTCAACAGATACCTTTTCATGTACTTGCTTTTAATTCTGTGGACACATAACCAGAGGTGGAATTGCTGGATCATGTACTAATTCTGTTTTTTAAGGCACAACCGTACTGTTTTTGTTGCATCTACCATCCTCTTTCCTTAGCCTCCCCAGCCACTGGGATTACGGGTGTGTGTTAGCATGCCCAGTTATGCGTCTGACTTTATGGAAGCATGACACTATTTTAATTTCTGTAGCTTTGTGATAAGTTTTGTATGTGAGTCCTCCAACTTTGATCTTCAAGGTTGTTTTACCTTATTTGGTGACTCTTGGTAATCCATGTAAATTTTAGGATTTTTTTTTTCTATTTCTGGGGAAAAAAAGTCATTGGGATTTTGATAGTATTCATTTTGTAGATCACTTTGGGATGATCCAGTTGGCCAATCCATGAACATTCATGTAATGCCTTTCTATTTATTATTATTCTTTATTTTCATTTTAGCAATAACATGTCTTACTTCCTTGGCTAATTAAATTCCTTAGTATTCTACTCCTTTTTAATACTAGGGATCGAATTCAGAGATGCTCTATCCTGAGCTCCATACCTATTTTGAGAGAGTGTCTTAGTTTCTGAGGCTGACCTCAAACTTGGGATCCTCCTGCCCCAGCCTTCCGAGTCACTGGGATTACCGGCATGCACCACTGCATCCAGCATTTTTATTCTTTTTGATGCCATAATAAGCACAATTATTAGTTTCCTTTCCTGCCTTTTTGTTATTAGTACATAGAAATGCAACCAATTTTTGCATGTTGTATTTGTATCCATCTGTTTGCTGAATTTGTTTATTAGCTATAACAGTTTTTTTTAGTGAAATCTTTAGAGGTTTCCACATATATCATCTGTAAACAGAGATCATCTTTTTTTTTCCTATTCTGATCCTTCTTTTTCCATTCTGTTCCTTTTTATTTTTTTTTCCTCTTGCATAATTGCAATGATTGGAACTTCTAGTAATATGGTAATAGAAAGAGGCATACTCCTCTCCTTCTTGCTTTGGGAGGAAAAGTTCTCAGCTTTCACGATCTAGTTTTTTCTTTGTATGACTTTTATAACTTTATAAAATGTTCCTGGTTTGCTGAATGTTTTCCTCATAAAAAGATGTTTCATTTCGTTTAATGCTCTTTGTGTATCAGTTGAGATGCTCATGTGCTTTTTTGCCTCTTTAAAAATTGATTTTCTTACATTGAATCATGATTGCATTACAGGAATAACTTCTGGTTGGTCATGGTGTGTAATCCTTTTTGAATGCTGCAGAATTCAGATATTTGGTGATATTTTGTTGATAATTTTTGCATCAGCTGTCATCAAGAAAACTGATTTGTCTTTGTCGGAATTGGAATCAATAACACTGGCCTTAAAGAATGTGTTTGGAAGTGTTTGCTTCACGTTTTGGGGGAGGGTTAAAAAGAGTTCTTCAGTAAATGGTAGTAGAGTTCACCAGTGAAGCCATCAGGTTCAGAGCTTTTTTTGGTTGGTTTTTGGATATTAGTTTAATCTCCTAAATACTTATGGGACTGTTTAGGTTTTCTGTTTCTTCATTTTTTTAGTCTTGGTAGGTTTTATGTACTTGGGAATTTTTCAGTTCATCTGTTATCCAGTTGTTGTACTACTAATTTTATTGCTTTGTATTTTTGAAGATTGAGAATCCCCTACTTTCATTTCTGATTTTAGTAATTTGACTTCCTTTTTTTCCTCTCATCTAGGTAAAGGTCTGTCAGTTTTGATAGCCTTTCTAAAGAACTACCTTTTTGTTTCATGATTTTATTTGGTTTTTATCTTCACATATTAACTTCTTTTCCTTTTTTTCTTTTTCCTGCTAGCTTTGGCTTTAATTTATTGTTTTTTTTGTTTTTGTTTTGTGTTTATGGTAATGGAGATTAAACCCAGGGTGCTCTACCACTGAACAATGTCCTCAGCAGTTTGAGACAGTGTCTTGCTAAGTCACCGAGGCTGGCCTAAATTTGCAGTCTTCCTGCCTCAGCCTCTTGAGTTGCTGGGATTACACACGTGTGCCATCTCCAGGCTTGTGCTTCTTTTTGAAGTTCCTTAAGATGTCAAAGTAGGCTGATAAGTAGAGATCTTTCTTCTTTTTTAATATAAGTGGTTATGCCGTATGTTTTCCCCTTGTTACTATTTTTGTTGCATCCCATAAATTTGCGTATATTATGTTTTTATTTCCTATTTCTTCTCTGTTGCATTGGCTTAAGATCTAAGATCATGTTGTTTAATTTCTACACATTTGTAAATTTTCCAGTTTTCCTTCTGTTGTTTCCAGCTTCGTCCCATTGGATTGGAGAATATTCTTTGTATGATGCCCTCTGTCTGTTTAAATCTAGCAGGCTTAGTTTACCTCCTAACCCAGTCTGTCCTGGGGAATGCCTTGGGTGCCCTTGAGAAGTGTGTTCCTTCTTGTTGGGCAGAGTACTTCTGTGTGGTTGTTGGGTCTAGTTGGGTTATTGGGCTGTTCAGGTCCTCATTTCTTTCTTCCCTGGTTAGTCTGTTGTTGAGATTTGGGTGTAAATGTTTCCAACTGTTGTTGTAAAACTGTATATTATTGTAAAACTATCTTCCTCCCTTCAGTTTTTATTTTTTACTTTATGTATATGTGGTGCTGAGGATTGAACCCAGGGCCTCACACAGCCAGCTGCCACTGAGCCACAACCCCAGTCCCTCTCCCTTCAGTTTTGATGTCTGTTGTCTTTTGCTCAGAAAGTCTCATCTACTTATATTTAGAATAATCACTGACAAGAGGGACTGGCTTTGTCATTTTGCCATTTGTTCTCTATAGACCTCACAGCTTTTTTGTCTCCAGTTTCCTACATTGATTTTGTGTTCAGATGATTTTTATAGTAAACTTTAATTCCTTGTCTTTTCTTTTATGTACGTCTATGGCTATTTATTTATCTGTGTGTAGTTACCATGGAGATTGCATTTAACATTGTAGTACAGTATTTGAATTTATACCACGTAACTTCCTTACTTTTCCTGTGTTCGGCCACTTGCTGAATGGTTCTGGGCCTGCGTTAGCTGCTCACATGTCCTGTTCTTCCTTTATCCTCCCGGTCCCATGCAGTTCCTCACCTGGGGTTAGTGAAAGAGCCTCCATGCTTCCCAGGATGTTCGTGACCCAGTCTTAGCAGGATGGGTTCAGCGAGGGCCTGGACAAAGGGAAGGGATGGCATTGGGGTTACACACAGGTCATGCTAGGAGCCAGCCTGTTCAGCCCTTGTCTTTATGTCATTGCTTGTGGCAGCTTGCTTTTACCTTCCCTTGTATATTCTTGACATTTTGCCATCTTTTCCTTTCTACAATCCAGCCCAGTGCAGATCCCTTTGTCTCTGGACTCACACTGCCTCCTGAGTGTCTTCTGATGTTGTGGTCTGAGGTGTACATGTATCCTTTAACAGAGCCTGAACCAGTTACTGTTCCAGTCCAGTTCTTCTGGGTCTAGAGGTCCCTTCATAGCACCACATGTCACCAGCAGGTATGGTCCTGCTAGGAGTCATTGACAAAGGGATGAGGTATAAAACATGTCTCTCACCCTAAGTGCTCAGCTGGTAAGGCCTATTCCACTGGGGGACCTTGGGGTCCAGGAATGCAGAGCAGCTGCTTCCGCAGCCTGAAAACAGTTGCATAGACTGGTTCTTTGCTTGTTGGATGAACATTGGTGATTCATGGCCACATCCTAATTAAGGCAGCATGTCCTTCACCATTCCTCCTCTGATGTCTGCTTTCAGGTTGTTTGCATGGAGTAGAGCAAGAGGAAGCACCTTCTGAACCAAGCGTTTCTGAAGGATTGTCACGTCTCATGACTCCCAAAGAGGGGTCGTCATCCCAGAATGCCTGCTCCTGTGAAATATGTGGCCTGGTCTTGAGAAGCATTTTGCAGTTGGCTCAGCACCACAGAACAACACATCCTGGGCAGAAGCCACGCACATGTGGAAGACAGTTCTATTTTGCTGCAAATCTTCAACAGCATCAGAGGCAGCACATTAAAGAGCTTCCCTTCAGAGGTGACACTGACAGAAACTTGTTTATAAAGAGCTGCATGATCCATGTGTCAGGGAAGCCTTATACTTGCAAAGAGGTGGGGAAGGGTTTTCTGGCCAGCATGGGATTTCCCCGTCAACAGGCCACTCACACAGGGGAGAAACCAAATGCCAGTTACAAGTGTGGGGTGGCCTTTCACAATGGAAAAAGTCTTCACCACTGGGGGGAATGCAAGAAAGCTCTTAGCCACACAGATACACTCGTTCAGTACCAGAGGGCACTCACAAGTGAAGGGCTTTTTGAGTGCAGCAAGTGTGGGAAAGCCTGTACTCGGAGATGTAATCTCATTCAGCACCAGAAAGTCCACAGTGAAGAGAGGCCTTATGAGTGCAGTGAATGTGGGAAGTTCTTCACCTACTACTCGAGCTTCGTCATCCACCAGCGAGTGCATACTGGAGAGAGGCCTTATGAGTGCAGTGAGTGTGGGAAGGCCTTCAGTCAGATCTACAGCCTCAACAGCCATAGGAAAGTCCACACGGGAGAGAGGCCTTATGAGTGTGGGGAATGTGGGAAATCCTTCAGCCAGAGGTCCAACCTCATTCAACATCAAAGAGTTCACACGGGAGAAAGACCTTATGAGTGCAGTGAGTGTGGGAAATCCTTTAGCCAAAACTTCAGCCTCATTTACCACCAGAGAGTTCACACTGGAGAAAGGCCTCATGAGTGCAGTGAGTGTGGGAAATCCTTTAGCCGAAGTTCCAGCCTCATTCACCACCGGAGGCTTCACACTGGAGAGAGGCCCTATGAGTGCAGTGATTGTGGGAAATCCTTTAAGCAAAGCTCCAGCCTCAGTTCACATCGGAAAGTCCATGCAGGAGAAAGGCCCTATGTATGTGAGGAGTGTGGGAAACCCTTCAGCCACAGCTCCAACCTTAGGAACCATCAGAGGGTCCACACTGGAGAAAGGCCTATTGAGTGCAGTGAGTGTGGGAAATCCTTTAGCTGCAAATCTAACCTCATTAAACACCTGAGGGTCCACACTGGAGAAAGGCCTTATAAATGTAGTGAATGTGGGAAGTCTTTCAGCCAAAGCTCCAGCCTCATTCAACACCAGAGAATTCACACTGGAAAAAGGCCTTATCAGTGCAGTGAATGTGGGAAATCCTTTGGCTGCAAATCTGTCCTTGTTCAACACCAGAGAGTTCACAGTGGAGAAAGGTCTTAGCTATATAGGGAATGTGCACTTTTTATTTAGTGGAATCATTGGAGGAGAGCACCTGTAAGAGCAGCCTACCTGGATTGAAGCCCAGCAACTGAAGGTGCATGGCAGAGAGATTCCCTTCAGTTCAGGTTTGTGGAAGCTCCAAGGATCTGTGTTACAGTTCCTAGCATCCATAACCCTTGCAGTTTAGGTTACTGACAGTTTCTGAGACAGAAGCCATTTCACTGCCACTTGCTAAGTCCAGCTGTGTCAGTCACCACGCCACCATGTTCAGGGACGCTGATCTGTGTTCTCCCATTGCTGGAGGTAATGAGTAGTCTGAGCCCACATTCCCTTCTTCAAAAAGATGGGGCATGAACCTGACCCAGTTTTGTACTGGAGATCCTGATAGAAGTAAATTCTTTCAGGGACACATTTCTTGTGACGATGTTGGGGTTTTTTGTTTGGGTGGTTGGTTGGGTTTTTTTCCACAGCCTCTAAGACACTAACCTGGGAACTACTTGCCTCACATTTGTTTTGTTTTGAGGGCTGTTATTGTCTGAAGCACCTGTAATCTTGGGATTCTGTTCACTCTGTGAGATGGCTTAAAAACAGGATTGGTCCCAGCCAGCATTAAACAGCTGTGGTGTGTGGGGGTGGCACAGGGAGGTCACATAATTCCAAGCCTTAGAGACATTGGTTTAATGGAAGAATGCGACTCTCTTCCCAGTTTTGTCCTAATATGAATTGTTGCCCGAGGCCCCCTAGGAGCTGTAGGGCCTTCTGGTCCTATGTGGTGGAGTATATGCAGGATGTTTTGTGGGCTGGGGACACCTCGAGGCAGGAAGTTCTGACAACTCCCAGTGCTGCCCGGAGCAGCGTGAACTGTGGCACAGGACATCACGTGATGCCTAGCACCGTGTCGGCCGACTGAGAGAGTCGAGTGCCTGATCCCCGTCATTCTGTGGGCTTGTGCCTGGGGAAACTGATTGGGACAGAAACACTGGGTTCATAGGACTTGGAGGAGATCGCAGCAAACTAGATTCTAGTGATGGTGCGGGTTTGAGGTGTGCACAGAATCTCACGGTCTCCAGGGATGTGCACCTTCGGATCTGTGGTCATTGTCAGGGGGAAAAAAAAAAAGTTCTGTGTATTCCACTCAGGTAGCCTTTCTGGAATGTTCCCTGAAGGCCAGGAAAACAAGCATGGCGGGAGGGGAGATCCCCACTCTAGCAAGGTGGCTTTGTGACCAGCCACCATCCTGTGTAGAAGTGAACGTCACCGGTCACTAATACTTTCTGCCACTGAGGCAAGGTTGTCCCCATAAGGTCACCAAGAAGGAGGTGGAGTTCGTGTGGGGTTACCAGACCTCACACTGAACCACTAGGCTCACTGCAGTCATCACGTGAACGCTCTGCACCCTGACCTACCTCATGCCCTTCGTTGGCCCGGGCCATCCCTGGCCGCCAGGCCACCTTTACTCTGTCTTCCCCGATGGCTTAGATTGTGTTAGCAGGACGTGGATGACTTGATTCACAAAATGTTTATTTTTCTAGTTTCATTCATGATTATTATTTTGAGATTCTTCTGCTGTGTGAGCTGTTCATTTTTATTGCATTTGGCCATTCCTTTAGGTTGTTTCTGGGTTCTGGCTAATGCCAAAACAGTGAAGCTGCTACAGCATGTGCACTTGTTTACATATTTATGTCAGCTACTTTGGGGTCAGTGACTCAGGTGCAAAGCTGAGACACAGGGCAGGCGACAGTCAGCTTGTTAAGAAACCACCAGGCTGTGAGCGGGGGCCTGTGGGGCTGTGGGGACTTCGGTTCTTCCACATCCTTGCCAATACTCAGTGTGGTCCTTGGGATTTACTACATCCATAGGTGTGTAGTTTTAACTGCTTTTCCTTAAGCATTCATAACGCTGGACCCTTTTTCATGAATTTGTGACCCGTATGTATTCTTTGGTAAGATTCTGTTCATAGAGGAACAGGGAAGTGGTAGCAAGGGGCAGGTTTTAAAGCTTGTTTTAAAAACTGTAATGCATGTATAAGTGACAAAGCATAAACATTTGGAATGTGTTTGGACGTTTTGCTGTTTATACCTGAAATTTTAAAAATCCATTGAAGGGCTGGGGTTGTGGCTCAAGCGGTAGCGTGCTTGCCTGGCATGTGTGTGTGGGGCGCTGGATTCGATCCTCAACACCACATAAAAAATAAAGTCATTGTATCCACCTAAAACTAAGAAAAATAAATATTTTTTAAAATCTGTTGAAAGCAAAATGTGTGATACTGGCAGTGATTCAGTTAGGTTGTTTGTAATTCAATCCGTTCTTGAAAAGAAAATCATAAACTTAAGCCAGGTGGATGGACGCCTGTCATCCCATCAACTCGGAGGCTAAGGCAGGAGGATTGCAAGTTCAAGGCCAGCCTCAGCAACTTAGTGAGACCCTGTCTCAAATAAAAGAAACTGGGGTTGTAGTTTAGGAGTAGAGTGCCCCTGGGTTCAATCCCCAGGAAAGAAAGGAAGGAAGGAAATCAAACTTTGAAGGTATTTTTCTCACAAAGGATTGGAAAGAGTGATCTAAGTTGCAGTCAGATGGGATTGAGTTGCTTGGAGTGCTGTTACATAGTGGGTGTAATTGTATACTGCATATTCAAAGCTAGAAAAAGGGATTTTGAAAGATTTCATCAAAAAATGGTAAATGATGGCTGGGGCACGGTAGCACACACTTCAGAGTGTGCTTCAGAGGCAGGAGGATTGCCAGTTCAAAGTCAGCCTTAGCAAAAGCAAGGCCCTAAGCAACTCAGCAAGACCCTGTCTCTAAATAAAATATAAAAAGAGCTGAGGATGTGGCTCAGGGGTTAAGCACTCCTGGGTTCAATCCCCAGTACCCCCCTAAAAAAAAATGTTGTGATAAATGAAGTCATTATGATTCCACATGTATACATTTATTGAAATATCCCACAGCATCCCATGAAGATGTACAATTTTGTGTTTTTTACATCAGTTTAAAGTAAATAAAGGGTTTTTAAAGAATGTTATTAATATATTAATTAGATTTATTTGGAGTCAAAAGTCCATTCTTATATGAGTCCTGGAATTTTGTTTTGTTTTTGTTGACTGAAGAGCCTTAAAATAATCTAACAATTCAGTCTGAGGTTCTGTAAAGTGATGAGAATTTCCATAAATTTGGAACACTCAGAGGGGGCATGTTTATAAAGCACTATGCCCTTGACTGTACGAGCACATTTACAAACAATACCAGCCCCTAGGTCCCGTGGCTGCCAGTGTGTATACATTAGGATTTATTGATAACCGCATCGCAGCTGCCCCTACCTTATATCGGTACATTCTGTGATCCCGGAAAATCAATAGCCTAAGTATGTGGGGGAGAAACATTGCTCCCTGTTGTCACGTGACCTGGTGGAGCAGAGGGTGGGGGCTGTGTGAAGCCTCTTGCAAGCCCTTGGCCCCTTCCTGAGGGAGGGCACTTCTGATCCGCAGGTCTCCTGAAGCAGCCCCCCAGCACGTGGGCCGTGGACATTCACTTCCAACTTAAATTCCGAAGGCCCAGCATCAAACCCAGAAGCACCCAGTAAAGAAGCAGCTGATCGAGGTCACAAGCAGGGCTCTTTAGGTGACTCTGCTTCTCTTCTGCCCAGGACAGGCCAGGGTCCCATGGATCACGTTGTACCAAAGAGCCTGGGTCTTGAAAACCACCCTCATTCTGGGTGGAGGTGCATGTCTGAGATCCCAGTGACTCGGGAGGCTGAGGCAGGAGGGTGGCAAGTTCCAGGCACCTCAGGCAACTTTGCAAGGCCCTAAGCAACTGAGACCCTGTCTCAAAATAAAAAGGGCTGGGGATGTGACTCGATGCTTAAGCACCACTGGGTTCCATCCCCAGTAAAGTTGGGGAGGGGTGTGGAGTCAGTCCCAGCATAGACTACAGAGATGGGATTGTGACAGTATTTTTTTTTTTAATTTGTAGGTCCTAGCTAGGCGTTGTGCACACGCCTGTGATCCCATCAACCCACCGGCTGAGGCAGGAGGATTCCAAGTTCAAAGCCAGCCTCAGCAACTTAGCAAGACCCTGTCTCAAAGTTTTAAAAAATGCATTTAAAGGGGGCTGGGGATGTAGTTCAGTGTTAAAGCATGCCAATCCCCAGAACCTCAAAAATCGATGAATACAGTACTTGTAGGTCCTGACAGCACTTCCAGTCGGCCGGAAGGATGAGTGTGTGAGTGATAACGGAGAGCGATCCTGAGCTGCGTCCTACCAAATTAACCCAGAGCGGCCCTTGGGAGCCTCAGCAGTTAAACCTTGACCGAAACGCAATGGGTACAATAGGAGTCTTGTCGCAACCCCTTGCCCGCAAGGAAGACGCAACTCAGGAATCTTCTTTCAGCAGTTTATTCAGGCCCTTGATATTTCTTCTTCTTCCCCTCGGATGCCCCTCCCAGCCTTAATAAAGCATCTCAAGCCCCAATGCGAAGCTGCCACGTGGAGCTTTCTCATAGGGTGGTGAAAAACCATGTGCCAACTCTCCCAAATAAGGAGTTGTTTGTCACAGACCACAGCGGAGCCAGCGCCATCTTGTAATGGCGACCATAGTCTGCAGAAACGGCAGAAGCGGCTCACCACAGTTCCCCCTTTCTGTTTTCTTAAAACAATACAGGCGAGAGTAGAGGTCCTATCCCACTGTGCAGAAGTGGCTGCATAGTATGGCTCAGTCCTAAGGAGGGCCCTTCCCCAGATCTGAGGCCATATCAGCCGACGCCTTTTTTCGTGGGGCGGGGCGTGGACGCGTCTAACCCGCATGCAATAGGACATGCTCTCCTTGAGGTCCACTTCAAGGATCACTCAAGTGCAGTGCCTTGCCTCGCATCCTGTATCGTGACGATGGTGGACGAAGGGGGATAGCTGAGGCTGAACTGTGGCTGTTTATAACGACAAACAAGTTGACAGCACCCTGAAAGAAAGGCACGGACTTTAAGGCGATAGAAAAGCACTAGTGTGGAAACCCATCTGCGTGCAATGGCAGTAAGACCGGCAGAGTGCAAGGGCTTTCCAACACTAAGAGTATAACAAGGAAAGTCATGTCGATCCCAGTGCAATGTTATAATAACTTGGGGTGTAACAACCATGTCAAAGGTTTACTGTTTAAGATGCGCAAGCCAGACTTGAGGTGAGTTGCCATTTTCTAAAGCTGCAAGAGCTTGTATGATCATAGCCTTATCGTGAGCACTGCGGGCCTTAAGGCGACAGAGAAACCACAAACAGAGGAACATACCAAAGCAACACATTGCACCAAAAATGCCTACCCCCACCCACTCTTTGAAGAAGGAAAAAGCAGAAGATATCCAATCGGTGAATTGACCCAAAGTCACGGGATCGACACGGGTACTGTTCAAGACAGCTATCTGGGTTAGTTGAGACTGGATCATGTTTTCTGCTTCCATGGACCAGGTTCCGGATGGATACTCCCCGATGATGTGGGAGGCATTTCTGGAATCATAAAATCTGACAGAGGTTATACATAAATGTGCACGTTGGTCAACACAACCCAAATGTACTAGGTCAGACAATTCCTCAACTTGAGCTTGAAGCAGATCTATCCTTTGATTAGCAGCCAGAATCCCAGATAAAATGTGTTGATTAATTCTACTTTGAGATTCAAGTATGGTGGATGTTTGTTGAATAACCTGATTAATAGTGGCAGCAGTTTGTACCTGGCTGGCTATGGCTACTCCAGCTATAACTGCTGCAGCAGCAGATACCGCCACAGCTGTCACTATGGCTGCCGTAATTCCAAAATCTCTACGGGCTCTAATCAGTTCAACAATAGGAAATGACTCTGGATCTGCAGTAACCGGGATCGGGACAAAGGTTGGAAATTTCATAACCATTGCCGTAGTCCAGGAGCCATTCCAACACTCAGACAAATAACAGGTAATATTAGAACAATTAAGCATCCCCTGTGATGTAACATTAGCCAAAAGAAACAGGAACGGAGATTGGAGACAAACTGCTGCGGAGGGTAATGTAGCATTAAACAATTGTGAATTATTTGCAGAAATTTTAAGCCTCCTACCTCGCTCCGAGTCTTGGGTACTGCCAGAAACATTAAACAGCCAACTTTGGACTCCTAATATTTCCCTGGGGAAACACAAGCGCGGACTAGACTAGCCCAATCTGAGGGAGTCATGCAAAATCTAGTAAGTCCCTCCACCTGAGTGAGAGTGAAAGCGGCATCTATGCCATAAGTGCGGACAGATTCTGCCAAGGTTTTAATTATCTTAAAGTCTAAAGGCTCATGATATCTTCCCCTGTTATTGTCCTGAAATACAGGGTATGCAAGTCCCATATCTGTATTAACTGTCCTCCAAACTTGTGCATGAAAAGATCTCCCGGAACCTTGGCTCCCCCCCACATACGGAGGTGGGGCAATCGGCACCATATCTTCTTCTAGATATTCTACCTCCTCCTCCTCAGAGTTTTGTTGACTGGTGTTAACTCCCTTCCCCTTCTTACAGTAGGCCTGCGTGCCCTGTGTCTCCTTTTTCTTCTTTTTCATTTTTATCTTATGTAGTTGTTGTAACAATATATCAAGGTCCTCAGAACTCTCTGAGTCGCTTGTGTTCTCAGGCGTTTTTAATTCGGTCAAGTCTGGGTAGAGCCTTCTCCTATTTTTATCTTCAGGCTCTTTTGCCTTCTCACTACTGTTACTTTTAATACTCTCTGCCACTTCACTACATGATCCTTCAGATTTTTCCTCATGCAGCTGCTCAAGAATAGCTTGACCCTCACTTACAGCTTCCTGGCATTTACCATCTGTTATACATCCTCTAACTAACTTCCAAAGTGGTATAATGCCACCCTGCAAGGTACCTTGCTCATGAGCGAAATCTAGATCTTTCCCTAATTTGTCCCAGCTGGGAACCGTAAGACTCCCTGAAAAAGCAAACCAAGGAGCCGCTATATCAGCTTCTCTTAAAAACATCTGCAAAGTACTCTGCTTTATCTTAAGTCCTTTTGAATGTAACAACCCATCTAGGGCCAACAAAATTGGGCTTGAAGAAGCAACGCCCATAATGTTTTTAGAGCTATAAAGAAAGTGAAAGTACAAAAGTCCCCGCTCTCTTCCTTTTACAGGGGAGCGTCCCTGTCGTCACAACAACAAAAGAAGCACAAAAAACAAAAGCGAAATGACACAACAACAAAAGAAACACAGAAAACAAAAGCGAAAGTACACAGTGCAGCTGCAATAAAATGTAATGC